TATATATATATATAATTATATATATATATTTAAGAAAATATATTCAAAGATATATTTTAATAGGAATTTATAGATATCTATTATTTGTTGTGGCATCGTCTTTTTCGAAGATATTTATTTTCGTATATTTATTCATTTAAGATTATTCCAAGATCGGAATTAAAAAAATATCATAATATCTTTTATTATGATAATCTTATGAATAATAATAGCAATAAATAATAATAGTAATAGAAAAAATAAAAAGAAATAATATATATCTCTTTATTCAGATAGACAAACAGAATTTAGGATGCTCTCTCAAATGCCAAAGATTAAGATTCATATGAAACGTACATTATTTGAAAGGAATAATTTCTTAAGCAATTTGACAGAAGTAATATCTTAAATAATCTTGCCGCATAATATTCCTAAATAAAATAGAATCTAGAAGAATAAAAAAGATTCTTTCTACATATTTAGATCCCTTAATTAATATCTTACCGAAAAATAAAAAAAGAAAAAATTTAAATCAATAATATAAATTATCTTATCAAATAACCTATCTAATCCAACGAAATAAATATATCGTATTCTTTTAAACAAAAACTTCCGACGAGAATTAAGAATAAATCACATAAATATAAATAACAATTCGTAATTAACTTCATCAAATAAATCAAAATATATTTATTATAGTAATAAGAAATATAATCATAATCATATAAATAATAATACAAAAATAATCTTATCATAAATATATATATATATTTATACTACTATATTATTATATTTTATTTTATCTTTCATTTATCGAATTCTCTACGAAATAGCTTTTAGAAATCAATTTATACATCTCTATATTATATATATATCACTATCATATTATATATACATTATCTATACCTCGAAGAATTCTAGACTTACCTAGCGATATTTATTTTCCTAATATTTCTAAATTCCTCTATCATATATAAACTACCTACTTATGTTTGAGATAATCTCCATCTAAATTATATCATAAGAATTTTTCAATCTTAATTTGTAATCTTTTTCAATATTAAATTCTACGAATATCTATCTATATTCCAACTTATACTACCCAGAACTATATTTCTTGTCAAAATATTTTTGATCTATTTTAAATCAACAAAAGTCGGGACCAATTACATTAATTTTATTCTATCTTATATCTATTAAGATTGAAAAGACATAGGCATATATATATATACACATACATATGTGTGTATATATATGATATGATATGATATGATATGATATGATATGATATGGTATGGTATGGTATGGTATGGTATGATCTGACCTGACCTGACCTGACCTGACCTGACCTGACCTGACCTGACCTGATCTATATATATATATATTGATATGATGTCTTTGGTTTCGTGTTGTAAACGCGTGGGAGAATACGGTCACGAGGATTGTCGTAGCCCTACCAACCTCTTTGAGAGATTGTGGGCCACAGGGTCTAAGGAATTTATTCTCGCCAGCTCCCTTGCTGGCCCACAAAGTGAGAAGTTTCATTTGTCTTCCTCCTCCTCTGAGGCACCGTCGGAGACCAGGGAGGAAAGGCTTCGACTGGACCAATGCTTGGCAGCTGCCTGGATAGCCTCCTCACTGAGACCTTTGTCCTGAGAACTTCTTACGGCCATTTTGGACAGTGTGGATACCCGCGCTGGGGGCAGCTCTCTCTACCCACTCTGCCAAACCTAGGACCTAGAGCATGTCGCACATGCTTGCACATGCTCCGTTCGACTGTGCCTGCAGTCCCTCAGTCCCATGTAGTCCTTGCCACCGAACTTGGCGATCTCGCTCAGCATGTTATCCACAAGCACGTCCATGCCTTCGAAAACATGCTCGAAGCCACTGACCTGGAGCGCATTGGGACGAGCACCGTTGGGCAGAGTGCATGGTGCAAAATGCATGAGAAACCCATCACCCGGCTAGCAAGACAAGAGTGACGGGAATGTTGTCTGAACTGCGTGCAGTAGGATTGCGTTCCTGGCATGGGTTGGAGTCCATCGTGTGACAGCAACCTCATCCGATGACCTACCCCAAACCTCTAAACTTGTGCAAGCTGGCACTCATCCCTCGTTTGAACTCTCACGACAAGGAAGAGAGAGATAAAGACAGACCTGCTGGAGCTTCTTCTTGAGGTCCTCCTTGGAGACCACGCCGTCGCCATCGGCGTCCAGGGCTTCAAAAGCCTCGGGCTCGATTGGCTCCTCCCCACTGCTCAGCCCCAGCTCCTTCCTAGGCGAAGCGGAGACGTTGGGGTCTAGGACTTTGGAACCCTTGAGGTCTAGTCTAGGACTTTGGGGTTTAGGGGCCCGAACCTGTTCTTTTTTTTTGCGGGGGAGTCGGGACTCCTGTTCTTGGGCCTCTTGGGTTTGCTTGGGTCCTTGGAAGGGGAACCAAAAGTTGAAGGCCTCGCCCGAAACATCCTGATCCCTAGACTCCCATTCCATCCAGCCAATTTCACTGACGAGTTGGTGGCGAAATTGTGCAAATCGCGGCCCGAGAATCCATATTCGGGTCCAGAGCTGCATTGCCTGGGCGGAATCAAGATTTCACCAAATCGGAAACCCGATCTGGCTGGGTGGCAGCGTTAGTAGGAAGACCTATTGAGGTGACAGGCTGGCAGCTCCAGTGCACAAAGCAAAAACGCCCTCTCTACCTCCTTTGCAGTCATCACAACTATTGACTATTGAACGAAGCCAAATTGCGAAGAAAGTCAGGAGCAGGGAGTGCACAGGCCTTCCCGAGTCCGGCTCGGGCAACTTTTCCGGATGATCTTCAAAATACTGGCCAATGCTGGGCGCGTCGCGCTTGCGCCAGAAATCTACGATGCTCGCGACCTGCAGAATCAGCGTGTCAGACATGCTGCCGACCTCCTAAGTCCTCGCTTGCTGGCGTGCACATCTTGCCAGCCTTGTAGATCCTTGTCTCCTCCAGCGCTTCCTTGGCTATGTGAGTCACATAGCCGTCCGCATCCAGCTCGACCCCGTCATCGTACTGCCTTTGTTGGTCAGGGGAGCATTGTATACGGCGCCAGTCTGTGTTCTCGTCTCTCCTTGGAGGATTAACAGACTATGAGCTCTCGGCCACATCCGGAGCTTTCTCATACCTTCGGGTGGACAGCCACCCCTCCCGCCGTGTTTTCCGCTCTTCACGTTCATCTGAGTTCATGCTTGGGGGTGATTTGGGGATCCTGTTCAGGAAAAACGAGCCGATGCCGGGGTACAGCGAGGCTCCCCAGTTTGCAACCAACCCCTGCAACTCTTCATACCTCTTCATATGTCATGCCACCTGCAAGTCCCAGCATGCTGTCTTCAAGAAAACGTGAAAGGGGGAGGTCGGATAAGGTGGGGGTCCGAGGAAAATGGGGGGGGTCCTTACAATACAGATCTGAACTTACTCTGTATTGGGCCCTCTAGTTTTGAGATTCAAACATTCTCCAGGCTGCATCCACCCTGGATTCGGGGCACCGAAGGTCTCCCGCAGGCCCACCCGCAAGACAGAGCCCGGAACCGGGATCACTAGGATCTGCTTCGCCTCCTCGATCTCAGTCTGAAGGACCTCCGCAAAATCCTCATTTAGCTACTCCTTTCTGCTGGCACAAAGTACCTCCTCGACGGAGTTTTCATCCTAAACGCGCCTCCAAATTGATGTGCTCGTCCTCTTGATACTCCCTTCCGCCCCGGATGTTCCCGCCCTTGAGCAAGGCGCAATCGACATATCCTCAGCCATACGATGAAGCATTTCGGACTTGGGTTTTGAGAGTTCATGTGTGGAGTGTGTTTCCGTCTACGCGAGGCTTAAGGCTTACGCAAATAACCGAAAGAGTTCACGCAACACCCGCATTGGGCCTTTTGTCGCTTCACTTTTCCAAGTCTCTTTCGCCCAAGGGCATGTCCATGTTCAGGGCATCGCGTATCCTCTGCTGGTCTCTTGCCAAGTTTAGGGTGTATGCGCAGTTTACGGTTATTGGCCAAGTGTACAGGATCTCGGTCGGGTTCGTTCGCGGCTTACCCCTAAACCTTCACGTCAAACAGCCTCGGTCCCAAATGCTCAAGATGGTCAATACTACCCAAGGAGCCGCGACAGCAAATATGTCCCCATGGAAACTCGCTGGCCTCTTGCCTGGAGGCGCAACACTCCCGAGCCAAAGGCTTGCTTTGGGAGTGTGAGATGACGTCAAGTCGCAAAGTCAAGGATGTCAAAGCAACACCGGAAACTTCTGAGTCCCTGAACACCATGTCTGAAAGAATATCCAAACCCTCTGCAAACCCCTAGGCCCTAGGCCCGAAGCTCCAGAAGCCCCGAAGAAGTCCCGGCCTGGACAGAGGTCAAGGGGCGATAAGTGCTCGGCACCTCAAGGCACGATCTTGAAGGGTGCGGTGCTTGCGGCTTTGGAGCGTTCGAACGGTTCCCCTAGTCTTTGCTGTGACATGCTGTGACCGAACTAGCTGTCAGCTAACTTGACCGATCTACCATTGAAAAGACTCACGACTCCGTTCAGGAGCACAGCTTGCACCAAGAACCCTAAGCCACCTGGGCCAGCTCGGTCCTCCTCAAAGGATCCAGAACTTTGTAGGCCTCTTCCGCTACACGCTTCCTGGGTTGCGCTCATCTCGTGCCCAAAAGGGTGCATGTTCTGGATAAGCCCAAAGGGTACCAGGTTATCCAAGTCTCAAGGCCTCATCGGGCGGCCAGTCAGCCACATTGACGATCTCGTATTCAATAGCTGGAGAGGTGCTGGAGGCACTCGGCCAAGAGATGTCAAGGATCACGGCCTGGCCGTCGGTCACATCAGCTCGTGTTGCATTTTCAAGAAGGGCTGTTTTCATTTTGGGCTTCAAATCACAAATCATAGGAAAAGATGTGCCAGAGTGAGTGGCAGTGCAATCTGCTTTGGGCCTTGATTCCATCTTGACCTGGCTTCAGGAGTCGGGTGCCTTCGACCAGCCGATCCACCACGTGATGGTCATGGCCACTCAAGATCACAGGGAAATCAAAGTCCCGGCAGGTACGCTCGTCTTGGGGCTCGTAGAGGTGGCAGAGTGGAACGACAACGTCGCAGCCCTCCTCTTGCTCAAGCTTCTTTTTGTAAGTAGCCATGACCTCCCAAGGGTCTTCGATCTTGGCTCCGCCAAAGGCTCCTGGACGGTAGAGACTGGGCGAATTGCTCAGCACGCCAATCATGCCAACCCGCCGCTTGTTGCTTCCATCCAGTGATGTAATTGAGAGCACTTCCTCATCCACTTGGCACGTGGATTTTGCGAAGGACTCATGCGTCTGCATGTTGGTGTTGATCCATGTCCCTGTGTACTCTCGTTCTCGTTTCAGCACTTCCTGCACAGGCAGGCAACGCGGCCCTACACCAACAGGCTACCAAAAGAATCCATCCTCAACCCCTTCTTCCAAGACCTTCCCTAAGTTCGAAATCTTACTTGTGCACCCAAGCTGTTGAAAAAAAAACTTGCAACGCTCCTTGTGAGGAATGTCATCCTCATGGTTGCCCCATGTCAAATAATCGATAGGTGTGCCATTGAGCATCTTCATCATGCCTACGCCCATGTCAATGGATGAAAGCAAATATGGTGCTAGGAAGTCTCCTGTCAGCATGCTAATGGTTTGCCCACCACATTTCCGTTGCAACTCAAGGGACTTCTCCTTGATTAAGGTTCGCAGGCTCGGAAAGTTGTCTAGGACGTAGACATCCGTGATCTGAATGATCCGTAGGGTGCATGCTCCGCTGGAGGATCCGCCCAAAAGCCGCGACACGCCCCGAGAACAGTCACATGGCACCGAGCTCGAGGCACCCATGGCCCGTTACAAGTGTGTGCTAGACTCAGTCTTGATCGGGCATCGGCGGTTGAAAAGTATCTCAGCAAGTCAGTGTCTCGTCGTGCTCCAAACACGGAAAATCTCAGGCTCAGAATCTCCTGAAGGAAATGGAATTTAGTCGTCCGAACTCCAGGGGTGAATTGAGTGCACTACTTCGTAGAGTCTCGGCACTGGAAGCTCCCCTCCAAACACCCTCAACACAAACACAGAAAGAACACCGAATCGGCTGCATCATGCGCGACAGTTCCGGACTTGGCCTTGCGCAAGCATCAATTTTTACCAGGCAAACATTTCTAGAATCTGGAAAGAGCGTTGCAGCAGCATCCGGAATAGAGCGATCCTGGATCCAAACCACGAACCTGTCCATCGGGGCACATGCTGTCGGAGTGTACTGAGCACGGAAGGTAATTACAAATTGAAACAGGTGTTTGCCGCAAGAAGAATAGATCAAAGATGCTGAACTGCCCTCGACTAGGATCCTGTTGCTCAGTGCCAAGTAAAAAGCTGGCGTCCTGAACTACTTGCAGACAGCCCATGTCATGATGCCAAGACCGGCGGAGTTGCAAGCTGCAGCTAGCTAGACACTTCAATGAGCAGATAGATTCACAGGGCGCGTGTGTGTGTGTGTGTGTGGGCAGGGGGTCCATCCGCGATCCCATGCAAATGCACAATGCTTACAGCGACTGGTCCAGGTGCTCTTCATGTAGAACGCGATGAATAACAACCGCCCTTATTCGGTTCTTTGCAAGTCTTCTTTCTTATGGCCACGATAAGCACCCTCACCACATCCCGCCAATCCGTCCTTAAGACCCGCAGACTTCCCACTTTGACGGTCTCCTATCTTCTCTCAGTTCGACACTTCTGGCTTTTGGGATGAGAGATGACCACAGAAAACAGCCGGGCCGCCGTAACTCTTTGCTTTCTCCTCTTGTGAGAGCTCTGCCGGCAGAGACCGGGGGAACTGCAAGAGCTAAAATTCGGCCGCAGCCTGTTCAAAATAAATCAGCATTCTGTGCCACTGGAGTCTTGATCAGACTCCGAAATCACATCTACCTTCGGCGATCGTTGTTGGGTGGACATCAATCGCAATGCGAGTTGTTCTTTGGAACCGCCGTGGTGCTGGAAGATCCTCCTGTGCTCTTCTTTCAACGTTTGCTCCTCCATGCTTTGAAGCAACGCTTCGGCAGCTTCGATTTGCGGCGACTCTTTGTGCATAGAATGGTAGTACAGATTGCCCCGAGAGCAGAGGGAAATGGCCAGGAGCCGCATGACAATGGCACTCACCGAGAGCAAGCTTGTGCCTTTGGCCAGCTGGAGTAGGAGCTGTGCCAAGCTCCAGTGTGCAAGCGTGCCCGTAACTTGGAAAACGAACAAGAGACCACGGTACTCGATTGCACTTCGATCACCTCGGGTAACTTCGCTTCCACGGTCGATGCTGTGATGGCTTTTCTTCATTGGCAGCTGCTTCAATACGAAGCGAGGCGACCGGGTCAGTCCTTGGCCCGGCATAAAGTTTTCAATCTCTACGAGGACAACGACTACCATGCCACGCATGCGGATGGAAGACCCCTCGCCTTCATCAAGGCTGCGGCTGTCCATGCCCATAGCTTGAAGCAAAGTCTTGATCCGATAGATGCTCTGCTCCGGCTTCAGATCTCCTTTGACATAGAACGGGGCCTCCTTTGTGGGCTGCTGCCCGAAAAAGTCGGCAAAAGCCCCGTCCTCTGCGGACTTCTGCCGGCAGAGTTCATGTTGAACTTCATTCGGCGGATCCAACTCGTTGACATTGCCCACAAAAAGCAAGCCTTGCAAATCTCTCGGGGGTATCAACATTACCTCGTCTTGCGCCGATGATGAGCTCGATGTGAAAACAGTTGGGTACACCTTCATAGTGAAATTTTCAATATCTTGCACCAAGGTCGTCTTGACGGGAACTTCTTGTGCCGCCTGGTTTCGGCCCAGCGTCCTATTTGTCACAAGCCTGCTCGTTATAACAGTTAGCTGGTTCGGTTCTGCAAAAGATGCGTCCTCCCCAAGGAACTCTTCACACAGCATGTCGGCATCATGACAATAGGGTAGTTGCCATGCTTCGACGGCCTGACCTGGCTTGTGCAGTGTTGTCCGAATCGACATGCTGAGCAAAGGTCGACGATAGTAACCTCCGAGGTACCAAAGCTGATACACCACGATGTACATAAAAATTGAAATCAAAATCAAATTGTGCGCAAGACCTAGGCGGCAGTCTTTGACTACCGCAGTCAGCGGGACGGAAAATGCACAAGCTTGATGCCAATCATATGCCCAAAGTCTTCTGCTCATGGCGACGGCAAGTTACGACAAAACCATACAAAACCTTAAGGCTCGAACAGGCCAAAGCTGCGGGCAGAGTTTTCGCGAAAGAAACCCCAACTCGAGCATAGCCTTGCATCATGCTACGAAAGGAAACTTGCATACCGCACGGGCCTAAAAGATCTCCGGACTTCTGCCAAGGCCATCGGGGACCCCCTCGAAGTCGAACTGCACCCCACGAAACCTGAGAAGGCCAGGCCTGCATCAGCTATCACCTGGTCACAAGGAGGGCAGGCTTGGGTTGGGCCATGAAGGCATCCGATACAGTATCTCTTTGGGGCGGTTTGCGTGTATAACTTGATTGAATGCAAGGGGCTTTTGAAAGGTGCTCCACAAAGCGCCAGCGTCTCGCCTATGCAACAAGGGCCTTCTCAGTTGGAAAAGCATGCAAGCTCATATCTTCAATCCAACTCAACATGACAGAGTTTCAGCACGCTTCAACATCCCAATAAAGCCCGCCCCTCGGCCGTGACTTTGAACACCGACACCAATCTGTGTCGCTCTTAAGAACAGGTTTCGATGCAATCATGAAAAGCATAATCTGAAGAAACATCCAATCCAACACATTGCACCGCCGCTTGAAGGGCCACCTCATGTGTAAACCGCACCCGGTCCACCAAGATGCATGCACACACACACACACCTTGACAAACACAAACTCGCATACCTCCTCCAAAGCTGTCACATGCTGCTTAAGGCCCAGTGACCCCTAATTTCGGTATCCAAGTTCGGCAGTTACATACGAGTACATTCAACGAGCGGGATTTCAGGGAGCACCCTACTATGCCGGATGATACTTTGACATGAAGGCACACGAAACCGTGACTAGCTTTCAGAGGGCCAGCACCAGCAGGCCGTGTGGATTTTCACCCCCAGATCCTCAGCCCTGAAACTGACAAGTCTTCGCTGCGCATTCGGGAATATCGATGCACAACAGAACTCTGTGAAGAGCTCCAAACAGGAAGGCATCGGAAGGCATGTAAGACACCCCTTTACACGTCAGCATTCCAGCAGACCCTATGTTGACCATAGATTACTATAATAAAGCCTAAGACTCTCGACCCTAAAACTTAAACCTTCGATCCTACGCCCAAGGCCTGCGCGTTGGTCTCGCATGTCCAGCTGGGCACCCCGGCATGCAGGGGGCTCCTGCGGGGTGGCTTTGATGTTCAATCTTCTTCAACACAGTCAGAAGAGAGGCGCGAATCTCTCACTCTCTCTCTGTGCAACTCTTGCTGACGGCACTTTGTCTCCAGCAGCTCTTGGTCTCTAGTCTTCTTCGCAAACTGGGACTCCGGAAACAGTCGGTCGCCTGCGGCTGCTGTCAGGCTTCACTTCGGCACCATTATCGGACAGGTGACAGCCACCATCCGTCCAGTAGGTCCAGTGCTTGCAGCCGTTCACCCTCGCGCAGCGCTTTCAGCAATCCTCCAGGGTGTTCTCACTGCTCCGTCCCTGTCCGCTCATGTCGAGGATTCTCCTTCTGCGGTGACCCTGGGGGTATTCCCACCTCGTCCGTCCAACTGCGCAGCATGTAGGGGGGCCAGTCTTCGCGTTGTTCTTTTTCTCAGTGTGGGAATCCCAATTCTGAAGGTGGCAACCTCCGTCCTTCCAGTAGGAATAATGCTTGCAACCCTTCACCTTGTTGCAGCGCTCTCGGCAATACTCGGCCTTCTCCTCCACTGTCCGGCTCTGCCCAGGCATGTCGTAGTGCCAGCGGCGGCGCCGGCGGTGATTCTGGACGTACACCTTGCTGCCAGTGGCACAGGGGTCATCCAAGGCAGCACCATTGTCGCCGTTCAGGAAGTTGATCTCTTTGCAGAACAGAGTGAAGGATGCCGCCACACTCCCCCCACAACTGAAAATACCAATCTTCTGGGGCCCGCCGCAAAGTGACGGATGGACGGCGCCGGTGGCTGCACTCATGCCAAGCCCAAGTGAAACGCTCATTTTGACTTTTTTCGGGCCAAGAGCCAATGTTCCCCCGACGGATACACCTGCTCGGACACCGACAAAGCTTGCAAGTTGAGGAACATAGCCAATGGTGAGGCCGACAGACGTCTTCAAGTCGACAGTCGGCTCCTTGACAGGATTGGGTCGAGAATAGCAACCCCACATGTTCAATTAACCAAGAATCCCGTTGAAACGAATCTTCCAGACGGCTGCAAGCCACATACCCAAAGCTTAAACAACGAGGCGACATTTGCTAGACTTTTGATTCGCGAAAACTATCTACACCCTCGGAGGAAGCCCGAAACTGAGGCGCAAATTGCGACTCTTTGACTGTGGCGTCTCCCACCTTGCAACGCTTTTTCAAAGTACACGAATATAGTGGACGCCCTCATAATTAGCGGTGATCCAATTTAGCTGGGCACTCAGAGACCTTTGAACTTCTGGGGCAAGTCAGGAGCGCTTCAGTTTTCAAGTCGGAGCCTCTTCGTCTGAACATGTTTAGCCCCTCGCTCCGCAGGTGTTTGAAATGCAAGCAGAGTTTGAAATGCCAACCTCGAGAGCATGATTCAATGAATTACATGCTTTTGCTTAGCCCATCCCCGCTCCTTGCTGCTCAAGAGAGTCTTCAGGCTCGTCGTTGAGCCCGAGAGCAGCTTGAAACCGATGATCACGCCGAACGTCGCCTCGTTGGTCGGGAACTTCTTGCCGTAGGCTCCGGTGGCCGTAGCTGTGAAACTGAAGCACCACCAGCCGCTCTTTTTGATGTTCTTGCCGTTGTTATTCTCCTCGATAACCAAAGTTGCCATAAAAGCTTATCACTTCAATAAACCAGGCCCTTTAATCAAGTTCCGGGTTTATTCTGCGATCGCAACAACCGTGGTAACCGTGGTACTTTGGTAAGGACAGGAAGGAGCGGCCTGAAACTCGTATGGTCGGCTGGAGATGCTTTGCACAAGAAACAACCTGTCCCAGCATTTCGATGCATTCACGCTGCACTACCCGAAACGAAGGCGAGTCTCCTGGTGGGACGCACGGAGGTTGTCCGTAAACAGCGGGTGCGATGATTTAGGAACTTGGGCTGACAATCAACATAAAACGAGTAACTTACTGCTTCGGTACAACTAAGCAGCTAGCAGCTAGCAGCTACCAGACTATGTACAGGTGTACAAGCATGGCGCTGTCGGGGGGCCCATACGTGATCATCAGTCTACAAGTCGAACCATGTGCACGGCAACATATGCACCCCATTGCCTATCTACGAGGGTTCTCATCTTTTTATCTTTCTTGTACTCGTCACTCTGCACGAGTTGGACCTCAGGACTTGGATTCAAAGCCCAGGATCCCAGCCATGATGCTGTGGTTGGAAGCTGTTTATGGCTTCACTTCGGCCTACAGAAACAACATTGAGACTGTTGTCCGGGCAGGAAATGTTTTCTTGGTGTGCTTGTACAGAGGTGGGCTTCGGCTTTCGGCGGTGAGGCAGAGACCGCTATCGTGGACGAAACCATCGAATTTGGTTCAACGTATTTCAGCATACGTATCTGCGAAACATGCATTTCGCATGCAAGCGCTAAAGACCGCTAAGATTCACGACTTTGCAAAAAATTTCACGCCGTTGGCGACTTCGCTTTGGAGACGAGGCAACAAACTCAACGCAGGTGGGTACTGAACCCTCTGTTGTCCGACTTCACACAGGACGAAGATTTTGCTTCAAGCCTTTCTGGCTTGTCAGTTTGTAGGTTTGGGCTTGTTTCGGGACTTGTCGAGCATTCGGCAATCTAGCCTCTTTCCCTCATCTCTCTGCTTTGTCTCCTCGCACGATTTTTAACGGCAAACGAAACTTGCAACTGTTGTCAAACTGTGCTGAAAACCTAAATCTTTCTGTGCTGCTGGCCCTGCAGCTTGAGACAAGGCTCTTTCGGGTTGCCACGCTGAAGAGCCAAGGCCGTAGACAGCACATCGCCTGTTTCCTTGTAGATGGGATTCACCCGCTTGGAGCCCCTTGCTCTGCCTGGATGGTAAATGAAGCCGGTGAAGTTCTCATGGAAGGCAGAGCTGGCATTCATGGCGCTCCAAACGGCCGTTCTGAACTGCATGAATGCAACGTGATGGGTTTTAACCGCATGCCAGGATGCCTTGACTTCCACGAGCTCAGCCGTGTGACCCGCCGATGCATCCATGATGTCAACGAAAGAGTTCGTCTTGCACCCGATGAGCTCGCATGCCTGCGCCGGAAGGCTGTGGTGAGCACGCCCTTGATTCTGCCGATTATTGAAAAAATGCCAAAGAACAGGGAACCGCGCCACATTTATTAAATCTGCGGCATGGCAGAGGAACCGTGCCGCATTTACTAAATCTGCGGCATGGCAGAGGATATCATTCCACAGTATGCTCGCGATGAGCTATGAAGTGTAGTTCATGTGACAGTCTAAAGCCAAGCCATGAGCAAGCAAGAAAACAAACCCACCGCGGCATGCATCGCATAGTGAATGTCATGGAGACAAGAGGCTGATATGAAAACGGTCAAACCCCAAGACAGAGTCCGGAAAACATAACACAGGAGACAAAGCCTTTACGATCTTCGACGGCAACTTTTGTTGCCCGATGACGGACGGCACTTCGCACAAACTCGAACCCGGGAAACATCACTGTCGAAACGTGCCTTCTTCCAGGTGTGGGTGAAAAAGGACGCTTCCAGCAAGTGCAGACGTGAGTGGTCTTTGAGAGCTTGCACCGTCCTGGCAGATGCCCGCTGCGTGTGGAGGACCGCGGACACAGCCCGGCCGTAGCGCTCGCCTTGCTCATCGGCTGCCTCGCTCTCGGCTTTGAGTTGCAGCAAAGCTGTGGGCCCCGCAGGAGCGGGCAGCGCTCCAGGGAACTCCAAACTGCTCTCCTCACCGTCACAGAGATCCGGCATGTATGGGAGGCCCATGAAAGCCTGGACGGCAAACTCCTCGTAGTGGTCCTCCACCTCTTTTGCCACTTCAAGGTAGGTGGCCATGCGACCAGGAGTGATGATGTGAGGGGTGGCTTCTGCTGCTCGCTCCAGCAGACAGGTTGTCTTCTTCATGCAGACGAGCAGCCACTTCGGGCCCGTGGGGCAAGGGTCCCGCTGCTCTTTTGTCAACACGGCGTTCAGCTCCTCCAACCAGTCGGTCGAAAGCTGTGACAGCTTCTCCGCCGAGGGGACCTCGATGGGATCCAACGATCCCACCGGTGCCTCCATGTGATAAATCTCCTGACCGAAATACTCGGCAATATCCACGAATGCTGAAATTGCTGAAGCCATCAACGGGCCACCTTCAGTCTCGCGGAGGCGTCGGGCAGTCTCAATGACCGCCAACGAGGGCGTGAAGTTGTCGCCTTCTTCCTGGCAGATGCTCCGTCCTTCGTCCTCGGAGGTCTCGTTGTAAAAGACATCATCATACTCTTCTCCAGTTACCGAGTCTTTTGCACGAAAGCGGGTGACCTCCAGGGAGGAAGCAGATGGAAGCTCCGGAAGCTGCAGGTGCATGTTATGTCCCTTTCGCACCAACTTTCCCACTTCACCTCTACTGTATACCACTCCGGTCCTGCTGCTAACCCCTGCTCCACTCAACTCCACTTCAATCCACTGCTGGTCTTCAGCTCATACTCACCCCACCTTGGCCCCGGCTCACGGTGTCCACCGTTCCTATGCGCATCCTATGCGTTCCCTCTTTGCAGGGGCAACATACGGAGAGTACAATGTGTAATTATACGGTTTCTGGACCCACATGATACCGTATAATACAGTGCTTCAAACGCAACCGACTGCACCGCCACAGTTGTAAGGCTTTTCCAAGCTATGCCCTGCTTTCTGCACGCGTTCCCCTTCTGATCCCTGGTTCAGTTCCCGCTTTGGCTTATTATGAATACAGTGATGAGGGTGTCATTGCAGGGGTGGTGGTGCTGCTGAGTCAGTGACAGAAGTTGCTGGTAGCGAAAGCAGATGTCCCAGAATTTCCCGAACAGTTCACGGCCCTGACCTCAATTCGGCTCAGTCCATCTCCTCCTTCGCGGGCAAGGCTCAGCATGTACTGGATCTCCTGCACATTTATCCGGGCGCATTAGAAGGTCTCGGAGCACGTAAAGCATCGTAAAGCCAAAGCCTCCTCTGACAACCGCTCGCTGACATTGCTCGCACCTCGAGACAGAAAGCCAAGCGAGAGCAGCGACAGAGGCAGGTTCCACTAGTACTTACAAAGTGGCCTGGTGTCGTGGCAAAGGACGACTGGATGGCTGAGCCTCGGAGCATTCCAGGTGGCGCAAGAGCTTTAAGCCGACACTCGCGCGCTGGGCTTTGGATGAACGGGGCGAGCGGCGAACGGCTGCTTCAAGGGAACTGATCTTCGCGCCCTCACTGAATCTCAGGAGGGCAATGCACAAGAGCACCTCAGTGGGTAGAGGCCTAGAAGATTTCTGAGGACACTGCTGCCCCGGGATGCTTTGAAAATGAAAATCGCCCAAGTGCTACCAGCAACCAAGTGGCCTGCTTCATTAGGAGCTGCATGGACATGCAGCGGCGGATGTGTGACTCTAGGGGCTCTAGGGGGGTAGACTAGATGTCTGCGAAAATGCAGCGGTGGTTCAGCGAGTCTCCAGACACGTTCAACAACAAATGTAGCAAACGTGACAAGTAGACATCGCCTGGCACAATCCACAAAAGACTCACAATGACCCGAGCACCACGAACCTCGTCAAAAGCAGCTCGTCCGACCTCAGAGCTGGATCCCCTCATCCCTCCAACCGCCTCAAGTCTACGTTGCTGGAGCAGGACACAATGAACGATACCGTTGTGGTATGATACGTACTGCCAGTTCTGGTGGTTGCGCGATTCTGGAAGCTACTAGCTCGCAGGAAGAAGGATTCTCGGGTACATCGGGCGACGCCAGCAAACATGGTTCACCTGCCCAGTGGCAGTTTAATCACACCCGGCTCAACAAAGCAGCAGCCGTCGTAGTCGTGTTGGAGGAATGAGAGCAGCGACAGTAGACACAATCTTCATCTTCGTCTGCGTCATATTTTCGCGGGCTATGTGGGCTCGTTGTCTGGATAGCTTCCTTCGAAGAGTTTGAACATATCTCGAAGAAGGCAGCGGTCGGATCTGGCACCCAAGCAAACGCCAAGCCTCGGGCGGAAACTCGGGGGGACCAGGCCTGATCCCCGAGCCACTTTGGGCTCGCCCTCCGCGTCAGAGCCGACAGGAGTCACAGCGAAGACACAAACAGCATTCAAGGGCTCGACCAGGAAGCTCAAGCGAGAAACATGCGGTACGTAACATGTTACCCTGAAGCGACTATCGTAAGTACAATGTCCGGAATCAAAGCCGCCGTTGTGGTCGTCGATGTCGTAGCAGCAGCAGCAGCAGCAACACTAGCAGTAAGTAACAGTAGTAACACTAGCAGTAAGTAACAGCAGCAGCAGTAGTCTAAACAATACAAATGATGAAACAAAAAAGCAATGTCAGCGCTAGTGGCTCAGTGGCAGCAAAAGAAGCGATGGCCATACTAAACCCTCTTTCTTGGGAAGGGCTCGACAGAAAATGCCCTGCAAGCCGGCTGAAATCCGCCGATCGCCTGGAATTGCATTGCTGCCTGACTGCGTTTCCGGGCTTCCGGGTACCCAGTACGTCGTCGCACTGACACACAACTCCAGATTTGCGAGGCTGTCAGCGTTATCAAGCCATGGTGAACTGCTTCGAGGTCAACCATACGCGGTGCTGGCAGCAAAACATTTGTAGCATCTGCAAGTTTTCGAGCAGGTTTTTGTTGCCGGGCCGCTGTGGAGTTTCAAAGTTTCGGACCAAAGCGTTGGAATCGACCAGCCTCTCTCTCCTTACCCGAAGCTTGCGGCACGCATCAGGTCACACCCTAATATCGGTCTTCTGCGCACGTCAACAACAGCTCTGCTGTTGGGTTGGGAAGTGAAACATTGTCGAGACGCAGCCCGCAAAGGCCAGCCTGAGAGAAGTTCGCGCGGCACTAAACTTTGGCCATGCGCAGGATGTAAATGTAGACCACTGACGTGCTTGGAAACCGGATCGGGGAAATCCCATCGTCTTTACTGTTGTGGCTCTTGAGGACTTGTCGGATTTGCAATCAGTGGTCTACTGTGCTGACGGGGAACTGTCTAAACCACTGCCCTCACTGCCGAAGTGGCTTTGTTGTCGATCCGCTTCTGCAGGGACACAGCTGCAGTGGGGGCCGCAGGTGAGCAGTCCCAGATCAACTGCACATGAGTCGCATGAGCGTGTCGGAAAGAAACACCCCCTAAACCCTAAACCCTAAACCCTAAACCCCAAATCTATCGCTTCCCCTTGGGTCTCCGGATGTCCCATAGGAGGCCTGGGCATCTGCCTGGAGCTCTTTCAGCTTCTTCAGCTCTGCCAGCCTAAGAGAAGAGCCAGAGAAGAGCAAGAGAAGAGAGAGAAAGAGAGGGGATCTGAGAGAGAGAGAGGGAGGGATATTAAAGGAATATGCCCTTATAAATCATAATATTCATAATAATAGTAATAACAGTAATGACAGTAATGACAGTAATAATAGTAATAATAGTAATATTGCAGCGAGAGAGAGAGAGAGAGAGAGAGAGAGAGAGAGACTGTTCTCGTGTTTGTGTGTGTGTGCGCGCACGCGTGCAGGCGCACTCGTTCGACTAGAAGGCACAATGGCCACAGATCCCCAGCACGACTTGCCGGAAGCAAGCTTTCTACAGTGCCACGGATTGACTCTGATTTTAGCAAGACTGGACCTGCGAGCACAAGTCAAGAAATACTGCTCTCATCGAGATTGTTTCTGACAGCCGAAACAACCCGTGAGGGTCGAAAGGAAACCTCGAGGGATCCCTTGAGGCCTTTGGCGCTCTCTTGTGCTACACTGACATCTCAGGCACATGCCTGACACCCATCGGGAGCTCTTCACCGAGTCTGGCATACTGCTCCTCCAGCCTCAGCACGACGAAAGGACCCAAGCAGTAGCGGCTTTATCCAGGGAGAGGGTTTGCCGTAGCTTGCCAGGTGCATACACCTGGCTTTTCAAGGTCAACATCTCATGTTAGGGGGCACGAGTGCCCAACCTGCCCAGGACCTCCTCTCTCTGGTTCTTCTCCTGTCGTTTGTCGAGCTCAGTGTCGGAAGCCGGAGGCATAGCTACTTGTAATTACTCGGTTGACACATGTACAAAGTTGGTGTGGGCAGATTGGGATAGTCGCCTTCCCTCCCCAGGCCCCTGATCCTGCCCTCAGTCTCGGTATACTACAGTATCTCAAGCGATTGTGCTCTCTCTGGCAAATCTTAACCGGTGATGTCCACGCAATCCAGAGCCTCTAAACTCTAGACTGAAAGAAGCCTTTTGCATAGAGGCCTGAAGAATCGACATGCGATCTTGGGGAATTATCAAAAATGCGGTCTTGGGGTTGCTGATCGTTCAGACCCCATTACCCGGATCACAGGCCTGCAGCTGCTTCACCTGCGCTCCAGGCTTGGTCGGGGATCTTCGGCTTCGGGATGCAGAGACATGAGTCTAAGGCTACGGGTTCATGCTGTCACGGCAGGGATGACTTCTGAAAAGACAGATTACGCAGAGGGTCGAGTGTCGGATTCCTACCCAATCGACCCTGTTCCCGATGCGACGGGCGAGCAGCAGAACTGAAAATTAGAACCAATCTCCCACGAATTTTGCACGAAACAAACCGACCGTCGCGAATGCAACAACTGACACACTAGCTTCATGGATTTAGGAGTGGCAGTTTTGGCTGCCCCTACAGTATGTATATGTATAGTATACCTGAACACACACACACACACACACTTTTACATGTACCTACATGTATAGATATACGGTTTAAAGCCGAAATCTATCCG